GGGGAATTCAGTCCAGGTCCTCTCATTCTTCTCTGGACTTTCCACTGAGGGTGACCGCCTGAAGAGGAAGGCCCACGTCGAGGGGACCTGTTCTCTCTATCTCGGCAGTGGCCCGTGTTTTATATTTGGAAGTAATATTTCCCTTGTACTTTGTCTCCCGACAGCTCTGACACCAGCATGGTTGACACTGTAAGTTGACTGGATGTCCAGGGTTCCAGTGGGATGTATGAGAAATGCCCTCAAGGCTGGCTGTTGGGGCAGGCCGGGAGGCCCGGCGCCCGGGCACCAGGCACACGGGGGGAAGCCCACGGAGGGCCACGCGGCCCTTCCGCACGGGGCCCCGGCTGGGTAGCGACTCCCTGACAGGGGCAGGCCAGAGAGGCGTCAGGACCCCGGAGAAGCAGGAGGCCAGTGAGACCCGAAGGCAGAGCCTGGGAGCACATGTGGGGGAGAGGCGTGCCAGGGCGCCCAGGCGGGGGACGGCCCTCTGATAGTTCGGACCGTCTGCACCCCGTGATGGTGGGGGTGACCCAGGGGCTGCTCTGAAAGCTGAGCCTTCCTCTGCCCCTCGTTTCCCAGACAGCAGCTGCCTGATGTGCCAGGCTGTTGTGCAGGGCGGAGAGGGGAGGCGCAGGAGCGGGGGACATGCGAGGCAAGATCCCTGACCTCGCGTGACTCCCCACCTGCCAGGGGACATGGGCCTTTCCAAAAATTCTTGTCCCTTGGGCACAAAGAGTTCAGGGTGAGAGGCCCCAGTGGGCAGTCAGACGGCGGGGGCAGGGGGTTGGGCCCACTGAGGTGAAAATACCCTCCCTGAACGAGTGAACCAGCTAGGCTGACATGGAAAGCGTGTCCAGGGAGAGCGAGCGGGGCTCACAAAGTTCAGCACAGGGGACTCACAGGCTCTCCGGGGGGACGTGCGGAGGGAAAGAGTAAAGAAGAGTGCAGGTAAAGGACCAAATCTGGGAGCCCCCCCGGAGAGGCGGCCCGGGAGGCCGCTTCTCTGCAGCCCGGTCGTCCCGGTGCCCAAGGCCACGAGTTGCCCAGCCGAGG